TTGTCTTCGTTTTTATGACGTCACGACTGCGCTGCGCTATTCCCTCAACTAAGTTATGCTCGCTGAACAAACGTCGAGAACGGATTAAAATATCTGTACCTGAAAATAAGTGCCTAAAATTGTTCCATAATTCAGTGTCAATTTTTGTTTTCCGATAATACGCAGTACGTATTTACCACTGTCGGCAAGTGTTCGATATCTGTCGAATTTTGTCTTCCAAACATGCGCAGTACTCACCGCCGACAAGCTGTCGATACTTGTCGATTATTGTTTTCTGGACATGTTCAATACTTATTTCACAATGAGCTCTAGTTAAACATCATGAAACATTTGCATGCATATCGTAATATAATATACCCGAAGCATTCCTAGTGGTAGTAGAATGACGCCATAATGCAAACCGTCATAATGCTATTTGATTTCAAGTGGTGTTAATCGTGAGTACCCAACAGTTACAATTGGATTATCCTACTCATCAATATAACTTGCCTGGATCCCTCTCTTCCATAACTTGTCGGTTTAGGCTTATGTTTGTATCAGTGAAGCAAAGAAATCCTTCAGTTAAATCCCTCGATCTTGTGCAATGTTTAATGAAATGCTCTTTTGGCTTAAGTAGATACGACGACGTGCGCAAGAACATCCAGCCATGCAAACACAAGATGCTGCTACACTAAGTGAAATCCGTCTCGACCACTAACGACCGGCCGGTTAATAGAATCAATGACTAGTAAGCTCTTTATTGTTCTGCCAATCCTAACTTTGCTGGATGTTCAGACTTTGAATACTGGTGAATAAGGAACTTGCTTTAAGTCTCTACTTGCATGGACGCGTGTTTATTTTTATGTGCAATCGTTAAACACTAGAGGAATATTCAGACTCAAAGCGTACATTTTTAGTTCCTTTGGGTGTACTCAACTCTTCTTGATCGTTGTTTGAGGTTAGTCTTCTAAGCTCCATATCTTGCTTGTGTGCAGTACTGCGTCGGTGATCTATCGTGTTCTCTGTGCGCACACTCGGTTGGCCAAGACGGATAGAAGCTTTTCTTCCAAACAGAAAAAAACAACGAAACAAGCCTTTGAATCCTTGTTTGTAATCTTCGCTGAAAACCACGTAAATCAGGAAGTTTATAGCTCCTGTGGAGTGTGGTAGAAGTAAGCACGCAAGGTACACCCCACTTGGAGGGAAGCCACAAGGAAAGACTTCACTGAATGATATCAGCAATTGAACAACATGCATTGGAAGCCAAAAGATTGCAAATACAACCACTACAGTAATCAACATTCTCACCACATTCTTTCGAACTTTAAGCTGCAGTTTTTTCATCGATCTGTTTGTGTTTCCTGGAATTTGACGAAACCACACTGTATAGACGACGCAAGCGTATAGAAGGGTTATAATAACTAATGGTGCGGCATATAGAAGAATGAAGGAGGCAAGAGTGAAGATTGCTGATGAGGTTTCGGGGTCTAGAGGGGGACCCCATTTCTCAAGGCAATAGTATGACCCACCATCTTTCTCAAGGGCCATTGTGAACAGCAATGGCAACATCACTAAAAAGGACGTAAGCCACACTCCAGTTATGACCCATTTTGTATTCCCAGATCGCATGGTGGACCTTAGAGGGAAGACTATAGCATTGAATCGCTCACAAGCTATAGCAGTTAGAGTAAATATCGAGCCCGCCATCGTAGCTCCTGATCCAAAACCCATCAACTTACATGTGGTCAGTCCAAACCAGCCACCAAACCAAGAAGGGTCATTGGTTATGAATGTTACAGCCGATGGCGTCACTGCTATGATAGTCATTAGAAAGTCACTAACTGCCATGTTCGTGATGAGGTAGTTGGTTGGCGTTCGCAGTCTTCTGTTGCGGTAAACAACGCACATTACGAGCAGGTTGCCAGCAAACGAGACGATCATTGCAGTGATGTAGAAGGTTAGCTTTATGATACGCGCTGTTGGGTTCTCTGTGATGGCTTGCTGACAGGCTTCACTTACATTGGAGCTTGATAAAGTAGTGTTATTCATCATCTATAAAAGAAAAATAAATAGAGTATAAGATGAATAAGTAGACTGCAAAAGATCTAGGATATTTAATCCAGTCCATTGTTGGCCGTTATTTTATTCTCGTTTTCTGGTGGACGGCATATAAGATTTCTGTTAACGAAGAAAGAAAACTAGGAAAAAAGAAACCGAGAGAGAGAGAGAGAAAGAAAGAAAGAAAGAAAGAAAGAAAGAAAGAAAGAAAGAAAGAATTTTCAGGGTAAATGCAAGCTATAATGATGTTTGCTTCCCTTTGCCCAGCCTTTGATAATAAGAAGTGTTGACACAAATAGTACATTTCTTGCTNAAAGAAAGAAAGAAAGAAAGATGCAATACATGCAACAGAATTAACCTTAGTATATCCCTAACACTAGCTTATTGTCACTCGTAGATGAAACAAACTCGTATGTCCAAGAATATAAACTGAATGAAAACAGGAATTCACTGGCATTCCGAACGAACAGAAACTCTACTCTTTGTCTTCCTTCTCTAAGGTGGTGAGAGTGAGACTCGACTCTATCTCCTTTCTCAATATTTAATTGAAAAAAGACCTTAAGTTTGCAAACAGGTAGCATTGGCACGACTGAAGCCAGCGCGTCTAACGTATAGTATCCACATATACAAATCCACCTCAAATTGAAATATTGGAACGTCATTTAACCGATGGTAGACGAAAAACTGTTCAAAAGCGACAATACTAAATGATAAAATTCCTAGGAACCATGAAAAAATAGCAAGCTGGGATAATTTGGTCTTATTTTAGCCTGGTATTATTTCCGACTGTTATGCGACCTTCAAATGTTTTCTTCTTTTTGGCTCAGCCTTGATGGCACCTGTAACGGAATCAGCCTCGTCTTTTGAAAAACAAGAAATTATCTTCATTGTAATCAATATGGTGGTGTTTCTTGTTGTATACATGGTACGACGCGCGTCGAAAGGTGGATGTGCGGGCTGAGTGAACTCGAAGCCAAACAAAGCGCATAAAACCGCGATGTTTCAAGCGAACAACGAGGAAATACAACTTCATACCTCAGTCAGTGACAACAAATCCTGCTTTAAAATAATAACAACGGATGATGAAAATCGATTTGAGTCTAAGATCTGAATCTTTTAGTAAGAGGATGAGCCAGATATAGTCATGATGATGATAGTCATTGCTAGACTAGACGTTGTGCATGCACGCACATTTGCCTTTTAGTCTTCCAAACAACACAGATATCATCAAATTTCGGAACAAATTTAGCATTTGGAATGAGTTCATTACTATATATCTTCACTTAAGAACAACCTTTTAAAGCCATTTTTCCATCTTAAAAACCTGCGTTTTTAAAAGGCACATTGCGTTTGTGGATGTCAGGCTTACGTCAAGGCATAAACCGGTTTAACCGGTCTGGTATGTTCCTGGGAAACTGTCCACCTATTGACACTTTATCCCCAACATCTATTTATGTAATTTGAATTTTCTTTTTTGAGATTTTAAAGTCTGGAACGAAAAAGCTTAAAGCACTGGTAACCGAGTTTACTTATTTTTTTGTAGGTAGAGTTAATGATTTCGATATTGTCTTTCGTTTGTTGTTGGTAACATGCTTGCTTTATTAGAGAAGTTTCATTGCCTTTTACTAAGCCAGACCATTTGAAAGACACTAAAAAATCTACAAGCAAAACTGATCAGCGAAGTGAATAATATAAAAATGAAAAATTAAATGTAGAGTTTCGAATTTTATCCATTAAGCTTCATATACGACAACAAATTTAACTATCGTAAGCATTTTATTCTAATGTTTTAGGAAATAAACTCAACAAGGGAAAAAGGGAATAGGACTTGGAGAGCATGTTTTGTCCCCTGAGGCGCACGGTAGGAAAAAATAGTTAATTACTAGGATAGCCAGAAAGCCTAAACTAGATCTTGGTTATATACGTGCATGGATGTCATTTAACGTTGAGTATTTGCGTTCAAAAGATAAGAGGTTCATGTCAAAGTGCCATCTTTACACGTAAATACCAAGTGTCCAAAAACTGTAATTATAAGAAAACTGTCTGCTGAGGTAAAACAGAGGAATCCCTAATGAAATTCGATATAGTTTTGTCCATGTTCTAGGGGAACCGATTAATGGATAGTAAGTTGATCATCCAGTAAAACCCGAGTGACCGGAATAGTTGAATATCTATCGGTTTTGCTTGGGATAATGGAACAAATCCCAACTGAGAAATGACTTTAAGATATCTTAGTTTAGAGATACCATTATTCAAGGCAAGTTAATTTTGGGCTAATATTTTTAACTGGACGAAATGAGAAAGATATAAGCAAAACGAAGGGACAAAAAAAAAAAAACACTAAAAGAAAGGAAGGAAGGAAGACTGAAGTGAGAAAGAAGACATTATGTAACTAAATTCTAATTCAAAGCCAAGTTTCTAACCAGCAAATCCTATGTTTCTAACCAGCAAATCCTATGAAAAAAAAAGTCCGCCAAAAGAAGGAGTTAGTAGTTTCTTTGACTATATTTTCATTCGCGCTTTCTACACAGATTCGTCGTTGAATATCCGGCTAGAATGCCGATAAAAAAAGAGATAAGCTGTTGTGATTTTTCGCCATCTTTAGCCTAGCTGATTCTTAATATTATGCGATAGCGTTTGTAGCAATTTGTCAATAAAGTCAATATTTGGAAGCCCAGAACATAGATGTGTGGAGAATTTCAATTTGCTGTCAGTAAATTTTTTACTCAGTCGCCCGGATCACTCTTAAAGTGCTAGTTATTTTTCGCTTTTTCAAAGCTAAACAAACAAAAGAGCATTGATCTTGTCGTTTGTTAGAGAAAAAATTTGCTATTACACAAATGAACAACTCACCTTTTTTGTCAACTAATTTCTGTAGAGTCAAATTGCGTTGAAGTTTCGAAATTCGGCGTGTTTGAACAACGCACGAATGTAGCTGCTCCGCGGCTCTAGGAAGCTGTCAGCCGTATGAAGGAAAGGAAAAGCAGCTATAGAAACCTTTCTGATCTATTTCCCCTTTTCCTAATTAAAATTCCTAGCATAATTATGTTCAAATGAGATTGCCAACTAATAGGGATAGCTTTATTTATTTAGAAACACTTAGAGGTAAAGCTGAAGATGATAATGTTAGGCCAGTTCATTCGATTTTAAAAAGGACGACATGACTTTAATTTAGATTTATTGGAATCGTGCAGACAATAAAACGTTTTAACTTGAACAGCTTTGGATGGAAAATYATATTTTATGAGTACTCTTTTCTTTAAACGTGCAAAAGTTACATAAAACCGTCTCATTGTTTGAACCTCTTTAGGCCATCACTGACAACGTTAGTCGAAAGGAATATTGTACAGAGACTCCAGTGCTCCAGTTTTGGATTCTATATTCATATCATCATTTATTTCCTTTCTTAATGTTTACTGAAAATGAACTGGATTTGACAGTGCCGAAAAAGTTAGTTCCACGAACAAATACAAAAAAAAACAAAAAAAAAAACAAAACATAGAGGTTTAAAGAAGGATTAATTGAAAAATCCTTAACATCTTTCACGAGTGGGATAATATTTTAAAAGCTGTTAAACTCACTGAAGCCAGAGTATGTAGAGTTTGAATGGCTTACAGAAAATATGCCAATTTTGTTCACCAATGCAAGATTTCAGCCTTCTGTTGGTTTCGAGTTTCTAAGTCTTATTTCAACCTCGCCTAGGTTGTTTTATTTTGGTATAAAGCACTTTGGATGGAATTGGTTTAGGAAACTGCTTTAATTGTCGCTACAATTTCTTTGACAATATAAGAAAAATATTTATCATAATTAAAAATGAAATAGGAACAAACACACACAACTTAATAATTACTGTGGAATCGTTCCCGAATTAACTAGAACTAAACTCGCTGATAGTGATACTGATAGTTGCCTTGTAGTTCGAGCAAAAGAAAAGCCTCCTTTATCAATGGAGTGGAAGTGTTCAGTGCTCAGCTTCTCTTTTCGCCACCAGCCTGGTTAAGCTGGATTTCATGCGCGAGTATGAATGAGTGGTGAATAACTTTCAGTTCGTGTGAAAATGAAAATCTAGTTAGCTTACGAATCTGTACTGTGCCTGAGATGAGAGACTGATGTTAGATATAGTAGAATATAAGATAATACTTTTTTGGTAACTGTATTCCAGAAAAAATCAAGTTAAGGTTTAATTTTATGTTCCATGTGTAAGCAACATTATCACTGACAAGACTCTTCGTAACAAATGAAAGGGAGGGAGGGAGGGAGGGATGGATGGATGGATGGATGGATGGATGGATGGATGGAGGGATAAATTTTTCATCTCTAATAAAAAATAAAAACGATTATTGCCGAAACGTGCTGATGAAAACACGGGATAGACTATTCTAACCTGTTGGCTTTTTGTAGCCTTGTCAAACACATTTAGTGACGTATTTCATGAATTTTTGTAGCCGGTCAATACCGGCGTAAGCATCAAGTACAATATATATCTCATATTTCCGATTTCACCACCATTACAGTACTCAAACGAAGCTATATGAACCGCGGCTTTCATGTTGCGTAATTGAGACTGAAGAATGAAATTTCGGCAATAAAGTTTTCCTTCGATTTGGAGGTTTTACAGCGGAAGTCAAAGCCACTTTCAGTCATGAGTCGGTGATATGCGCTGTGGAGACAGATTGACTGATTGTTTGTGTACAATACTTGCGGATTATTTTCTGTCAGAGTTGAACAAGACAACATTTGTCCGTTAAGTTAGAATCTACAATAGACTAGCATGACAGTTTCGCGTATCTGTCTGGAAAAAAAATCTAAATCTATTTTTTCTGATACTCGAGAAGAAGGTGTTTTAATTGCATGTCAATCTGTTGTTATGGTTAGTCGTTTGAATTGCGCTTGCGCCTAAGCTTGAAATTTCTGCAGCCTCAGGCCTAGACTTCCAACATTTATGACCTAGAGAAATCGTATTTCTCTTGAGACTGTGCGCTGTCATGACAACAGCTAACATAGTAAAGCCTACGTCCAAGCTAAAAGAATCTGTTGGGATTTTTACGAAATGGGAGAAAAACGGGAGAAAAGCTAAAATAAAGAAGCGAACAAACAAACAACGATCTGCCTTACAAATGAAGGAGATTTTGAGGACTAAATCAAAAAAAAAAAAGAAAGAAAGAAAGAAAGAAAGAAAGGAAGGAAGGAAGGAAGGAAGAAAGAAAGAAAGAAAGAAAGAAAGAAAGAAAGAAAGAAAGAAAGAAAAAAAGTGGCAGCCAGTGAAAGGCGACGAACACCACTCGCATACGCTTTACTACACAGCCTGACCTGTCCGTGAGGAGGGAGGAGGGAGAGACGTTTGCTTCTGACACAATAAAGAAACGACTGTTGTTCGTAGTTGATGTACGTACTCATTCGTCAATGAAACAAATACAATTATATATCCTTATCAAGATTATAATCTCTCTCCCTCACCGCTTTCTTAACGTTATTAATTTGTTTGTCTCTTAATATGACTTGGTTGAATACTTCTTTTTTAGGAATAATTGAGTACTTATTTTAGTGTTGTATATTCTGGAAAAGTAAATTTTAGCTTATTAAGAGTTACCTTCTTGTGCATACAAATAGATGAAAGTTGGTTATCGCTGTTTAAGTTATTCGGCATCATAATAGATCCTACCTTTGTTTCGACTATCTTTTTTAAAAAACACTTTATTCGTTCCCATTAATTTATTTATTCATTCGTTCGTTCGTTCCGTTCGTTCGTTCGTTCGTTCGTTTTTTTCTCTATTTCTTTTGTTTGTTTTCGACTATCTTTATAAAAAAACACTTTATTCGTTCCCATTCATTTATTTATTCGTTCGTTCGTTCGTTCGTTCGTTCGTTCGTTCGTTCATTCGTTCGTTCGTTCGTTCGTTCGTTCGTTTTTTTCTCTATTTCTTTTGTTTGTTTTCTTTTCTTTCTGTTCTTTCCATTTCATTTCTTAAGTTTAACTTTTAACCTTTCTTCATAACTCTTGTCATTCGTTCAATCACTTCGTTTCAATAACACATCCTTTCACCGCCCTCAAGCAAGTACACCGTTAACTGATCAGAGCACGCCTCATTTTCATCCTAACTAAGCTAGACCAGGGTTGTTTTTTTAATCATTATTTTGCATGACAAATAAAGTTCCCATTTCCTTATTTTATTATAAATGGTTCACTTTTATGGCCAAATATTGTATTGAATTGCCTGATACCGAAAGTGATGAACGATGTGTTACTATGGTTACGCTATCTTTATATGTTTTATTGTCATTAGTTTTCTAAACAATTTCTCAACCTGATTATATAAAAGACAGTTTTCCTAACACGAAATTTGTTGAGAAAAGAACTAATGAAATTCAATATCAGAAAGGCCTTTCCTGTATTCATATGTCATTTTTTCCCCAATGATTAACTTGAAGGTGCATTATCGTACTCACAACGAACAGAGAGTTCGCTGACAGTTTTTTTAACTGTAGATCTAATATTGTTCTTGGAATCACAATCGTTTTTGAATCTAAAAAGCTTAACCCTGAATGAATATTACATTCAGAAAAAAAAGCTGTCTGTAAAAATTAAATATATTGCCCTTGCAAGGAATTCGGGTTTTTTTTCCCCTCTCTTTTTGTTCTCTCTTCAGTTTTTAAATAAAATAAATAAAATCGGCCGATGGAATACGTGAGTAAAATGGCTTAAGAATGAATATAAAGTTAGTGGATTTTTATTTCAAGTTTTGGTCTTACTTACCTCGTTAAAAGCTGCAATATTAATTGAAGTCTTGGATTATTCTTTGAAATCTCTTGCTATCTTGTTCAAGTGCTTCTTTCCCGCTCGTTCGTGATCTCAATGGAAGATTTCTATTTTAACTTCTAAAAATAAAACAATTCCGTGAAAAAAGTAAAAGTTTTTAACTAAATCTTCGTTGATATAAATCTATAATTCTATATATTTAACTGTCCGTTGAGTTGAATGAAGCCAAAGAATTAAAGAATAGGCTATTTTACGTTGAATATTTACCTTTAATATAAGACGATTTAAACATGAGCGGTTCAAAGTCAAGAAAGCTGCATAGTTGGCTCAAATTTGTAATTAAGGAAACGAGTGATCTACGCACTGTTCTGCTATGCACCGAGGAGATTCGATAACTTCATGCACTTATCTCTCTCTGATTTTACGCATTTATGTCCTATTGTCAGAGCTAATCCGTGGATATTTATATTAGCATCCACATCCTATATATAGGCGTATTTGATCACTGAAGGCGAGGCACGAACATTTTGAACGTTCAGCAATAGAAACTCTGACAGCTAGCAAAACGAGTTTCCAGCTGTATTTGACTACCAGTGATTTTCTTTGGCTATTTTTCATTCAATATTTTTTAGATGTTATCTTAAACGCACCTTTTACTTAACATTTGTTCAAAACTTTTCTATGAAATTTTACCAGTTGACATTCAAATTGTTGATGGTAAGACAATAAATATTGAAAGAAAATCGACACAAGTTTTATACAGCCTAAAATATGATATTTTTCTTACGGTGCTGTTTGACAGATGGTAAGATATTTAATTGCAAAAGCGTTCTCAGTTTAGTACAGAATGATGCAATCGATTTGAAAACGTTTTAGTTAGAAAACTAAAGAAAACAATTATATATGATTAAAGTTGTTTTTTCCCTCGCCACGAATCGTACGGCGTGTCTTTAGTGAATCGGAGCTGATGCAGACACACCAAACACAACCCTTTGTGACTCTGTGCTAATGCACTTCAACTAAATTGTAGCCATACTGTCCTTTCAAATGAATTTCTTAAGAATCGGAAACGATTAGCGATCAAGACGTCATAATTCGAAATGATAACACTTGTCTCACTCACCATCAACCGCTGAAAGTAAGAAATTAGTTGGAAGGAGGACTGAAATGATCACGCGTATGCTCTTGGTCGACTTCTGAGTAAGGCTGTTGTAGAGTTGATTTGGGTACTAATCTACGTCATTTCAAAAAGTATTACGCATCCTTAACTGAATATTCCATTCTCAGAGAGAGTGCTTTACGTGCGCGCAGACGAGATTTAAAAA